TGCACATTGGCAGTTGTGACGCATATTTTGAGTGACAGGGAGCTGCAGCAGAGGGGTGAAAGAGCCACATGAGGCTCCAGAGCTGCAGGTTGCTGACCCCTATTCTATCTTATTCTATACAGGCAGTCCTCGAATTATGACCACAGTAGAGTCCATAATTTCTGTTTCTAAACAAGACATTTTCTTAAGTGACTTTTGCCTCATTTCATGATCTTTCTGCGACAGTGCCATTGTTAAATTACTGACGCAGTTATAAAGTGAATCTGGCTTCCCCATTGACTTTGCTTGTCAGAAGGTTGCAAAAGGGGGTCACATGATCCCCCCAGGACACTGAAACCATTATAAATATGAGTTCATTGCCAAGTGTCTGAACTTTGATCATGTGACCATAGGGATGCTGGAAAGGTCATAAGTGTGAAAAATGGTCACAACTCACTTTTTTCAGTGCCATTTTAGCTTTGAATGTTCACTAAACGAAGTTTTTCGTTTAGTGAGCATTCAAATTTTTGAATATTCAAACATTGTGAACTTTTGTAAGTTGAGGACTACCTGTATTATTTTATTCTATACCTCTTTACATATGTGATAGTTCTTTTATTCTGTACCTTACTCTATATTTGTGGTTCACTCCACAGCAGTGGTGGGTTCCTCCCGGTTCGGCTCGGTTCAGCCAAGCCGGTAGCGGTGACGATATGACCTCACCGAACCAGTTCTCTTTGTTCGGGAGCTGCCCGCCGCCATGTTATTCTTACCTTTTATTTTGCCCCGCCCCCAGTCTATTTGCTGCCTCCCGAGTCCCAGCTGATCGGCTAGAAGGAAAAAAACTGTTTAAACTCTTGCCGCGGGGCTTCAAAGGGCCACCCTACAGCTGATCAGTGTTAAAAGGCAGTGTGGTGGTAGACCAGTGCACTCGAAAAACAAATGGATAGACCGGTGCGCTCCAAAAAGAATGGGTAGACCGGAATGCTCCAAAAACAAATGGGTAGACAGGTACAGCTCTGCAAGCAGTTAAAAGCCTGGTAGACCAGTACCTCTGCTAAATCCTAAAGAATTGTCACATGACCATCAAACCACGCCCATACAATAAGCCACGCCCATAGAACTGGTAGTAAAAAATTTTAGAACCCACCCCTGCTCCACAGCCTTTTCCTTTCTTTAGCTGAAGCTCTCCCCATTTCCTGTCTCCCTCCGAACTAACTGTTGCTCCTGACTAGGTGGACTCCAAGCTATAGAAACGATTATTTCTAGTATGGCTTTCTTAGTTAGCCTTTCGTGACCAATATCATGGATCCTGACTTTTGTAACAAAAACTGCCTTCTGAATTCTTTCTTAATATTGATTGCTTTCCTGATGCTACTCTTGATCTGAGAAGACTGAGAAGCAATGTTATATACAGGTAGTCTTCAATGTAGGATCGACCACTAAGTGACTGTTTGAAGTTATGGCAGACCCTCATATCAGTGGTGGGTTTCAAAAATTTTTACTACCGGTCCTGTAGCTGTGGTTTGGTGGGCGTGGCATGACTTGGTAGGCGTGGTTTGGTGGGCGTGGCAGGGGAAGGATACTGCAAAATCTCCATTCCCATCCCATTCCAGGGGAAGGATACTGTAAAATCCCCATTCCCTCCCAATCAGCTGGGACTCGGGAGGCAGAGAATAGATGGGGGCGGGGCCAGTCAGAGGTGGTATTTACCGGTTGTCCGAACTACTCAGAATTTCTGCTACCGGTTCTCCAGAACTGGTCAGAACCTGCTGAAACCTCTGTTCCACATAGGTACTTATGCCCTGGTTCCAAAGTTATGATGCCCCCCCCCACAGTCATGTGACTGCATTTTGGGTGCAGTTATGGCCGTTTGCAGCATCCCACAGTCACACGATCATGATTCATGATATTTTTGATGAAAACTGGTGTTTACTTCTAATTTTTGGCAAAAATGCCCCATAGCAAACAATAGCTTCGTTTAATGACCGCACATTCACTGAAGCACCCTGGTGATTTGCTTAACAACCGCCGCAATAAAAGGTTGTGACATTGGGTTAGTCGCATGATTTATTTATTATTTATTATTATTTATTTATTTATTATTCATATTTCTATGGCACCCACTCTCCGAGGACTCTGGGCGCTTACACCAAAGACAGTATACTTTTTTTTTTAAAATAGATTTTATTGAATATAAATATTAAAAAAGACATACGTAACATATATACAACTAACATTTATACAACATATACACAAAAAGAATATAATTTCTTCTTAAGCATTTTTTCAGAGTGACGTTCTACACTTCTACTTATAATATATTCCTTCACCTTCCTGTAATCTAATAATATTTTTATTACATATATATGTATCAATCAGTAATATATCCCCTATATTTTTTGTATATTTCTAATTTTTAACCAATTATACCAATTATTCCATATTTTATAATAGTCTGATTCTTCTTTTTCTTGTAATTCTTTGGTTAACCTATCCATTTCAGCGCATTCTAAAATTTTCCCTATTACTTCTGTTTCACTTGGAATTTTTTCTTGTTTCCAATTTCTTGCGTAGGTTATTCTTGCAGCAGTTAATATATGAATTGTAAGATATTTGATATCCTTAGGGTATGATTTGTTAAATATTCCTAATAAAAATGTTTCTGGTTCTTTTTCAATCTGTGTTTTTGTTATTTGTTCCAACCATTTTTTGATGTTAGACCAAAATTTCTTTGCTGCCGGGCACGTCCACCATAAATGATAGAAAGTCCCTTGTGCCTTTTTGCACTTCCAACAAATTGGGCTATTTTTAGGTTGTATTTTTGCCAATCTGGTTGGAGACATATGCCACCGATAAAACATTTTCAGTTGATTTTCCTTGTACGCCGTTGCTTTCGTTAACTTTAGGTTTATCTGCCAGAACTTTTCCCATTTTTCCAAAGGTATTGTGTGTTTGATATTTTGAGCCCACTTAATCATCGTTTCTTTGACTGTCTCTTCTTCCAATTTATAGCGTAGGAGAAATTTATAAATTCTACTAATTAATTTATTTTCTGAATCTAATATAATTTTATCTATTTCTTGTTTTTGATTATAAATTTCATACGTTTTTATATGCTCTCTTTATTTGGATTGTATTTGAGTGTAAGTCCACCAGTCTATTCCTCTGTGTAAATCTATCTCCAATTGTTGTTTTGTCTTTAGTTTGCCTTGATAGTCAATTATATCTTTATATCTAATTATTTTTGTCTTATCTGTTAAATTTGGGTGTCTAATTGATTCAGCCGGTGCTAGCCAATTTGGTATCTTCATATAATGTTGTTTTTTAATTTTAAGCCAAATTTGTAATGAGTTCCTTATTGTATGTGTTTTAAAATATGTAAGTGTTTTGTATTTGTCATCCCACATAAAGGAGTGCCAGCCAGTTTGAAGTTCGTGTCCCTCAATTGTTAAAGTTCTAGAGTCCTTTAATTCTATCCAATCTTTGACCCACGATAGTACTGCTGCTTGGTAGTATATCTCCCAATTAGGGAGTGCAGCTCCTCCTCTATCTTTTGTATCCTGAAGCAGTTTAAATTTTATTCGTGGCCTTTTCCCTTGCCAAATAAATTTAGATGTTATTTTATTCAGCTTTTCAAAAAACGGTTTATCTATTTTAATTGGGGTGACCTGAAACAAATATAAAAATTTAGGTAATATAATCATTTTGATGGCCGAAATTCTTCGTAGGAATGAAATGTGTAAATTTTCCCATTTTTCTAAGTCTTTCTTTGTTTGTTCTAGTAATTTATCATAATTGTTTTCTTTAATTGCTGATGTTCTTGTAGATAAACAGATTCCTAGATATTTTATTTTTGTTGTTGTTTGGATTTGTATATTATCTATCAAATCTTTTGTTTGGATTTCCGTAAGGTTTTTAACAATTAGCTTCGATTTACTTTTATTAATTTTTAGTCCAGCCACTTCTCCAAATTCTTCTATTTTTTGGAACAAATTAGGTATAGATTCCATAGGATTTTCTGTCAAAAACACTAAGTCATCAGCAAAGGCTTGAACTTTGTATTCTTCTCTATTAATCCTTAAACCTTCAATTCCTTGATCTTCTCTAATTTTTTTCAACAGGGTTTCCAATGATAGGATATATAGTAAGGGGGAAAGTGGACAGCCTTGTCTGACTCCTTTTGTTATATTAAATTTGTCTGTTATGTCATCATTCATAATTATCCTTGCTGATTGCTTGGTATAGATTTCTGCTATAATTTTCCCAAATTTTTCCCCAATTTGCATATTTTGTAGTTGTTCAATCATAAGTATAAGTACAGTATAAGTATACATAAGTACAGTATACTAAATAGCATATTGCCCCCAACAATCTGAGTCCTCATTTTACCCACCTCAGAAGGATGGAAGGCTGAGTCAACCATGAGCCGGTGAGATTTGATCCGCTGATCTAGCAGTCAGCTGAAGTAGCTGAAGTACTGCACCCTAACCACTGCGTCACCTCAGCTCATCCGCATGATGACCTGTTTTACAATCATCACGACATATGACCATAATAGGCAGACTCCATTATGGTTATAAGTTGAGGGCACTTGTATATAGAGTTAAGTAACAGTTCTATTATTAGATATTTTATTTTATCTGTCCTTATGGCAGTAATTGATTATTGTTTGATTGGTTGATAATGCTTTGCTGAATTTCTTGATTTGTATCAGTCTGATAGGATATTTCTGTGAGAAATGGAAGGCACTTTTGCATTGCAGCTCAAAGCTGATGGACTCTGGTGGGCCCAGTAGATAGACATGAACCTGGTGGAAGAAATCTGTTTTGTATTTCAAACTCTTCCTCCACTTTGACCACAGCAATGTCCAAGTAATCCATTTAGACTGATTGGTGGATTCTCCTGTTTCTTTACCCATTTCACTCATGCTGTGGAAGCAAAAACCTATCACGTTCCTTTCATGGATGGGTTTTTGTCAACCCTTCAAAGTAGACCAAACTAGGAAACCAAAGTTATGTAGATCAATATTACTTTTATTGTAAAGTTATAGGAACAGAATCTTGCAAGTTTGAAGGCACATTTTAGAGGGGTTGAGAAAAACAACAACAAGGCACACTTTAATGGAATCATGGACATGCCACCCAAGTGTATGAATCATTCCGTCGCGCGCTCAAGACTTTCTTATTTCATCAAGCTGGCCTGGCCTAAACCTTCTCCCCTTTTAAATGTAAATTTTAATTTATTTTTAAATTATTGGGTATTTTAATTTTGTCTCAGCCAAATTATTTAATTCATTTTTATTGTATTTTAAATTTTGTATCTATGTGTTTTATTCTGTGGCTGTTCACCACCCTGAAGGTCCTTTGGGAGTAGAGCGGTATAGAAATCCAATAAAATAAATAAATAAATAAATTGACAAATTACAGGATCTGCCCTACCCAACAATACTGCCCATCCAACCAATAGAGAGTTCCCTTTTGTTTTTCTTTCTTTCTTTATAACTTTCTGTGTTGTTTATTTGTCTTTTGGTGGGTTAAGCTCAATTTAAAAAAAAAACCTTTTTATTGTCCCATTCTATACCCCATCCTACCAGATTTCCTGGAAGAGGAAAATCTTTGAATTTAAAACCTTGGTATAGAATTGCTTTGGTGTTGGGTTTAATCTGCTGGCCTTTGCTTTAGATGGAATGATGTGAAATCCCTCTAATCGAGGAAACAATTCTTACATTGATTTATTAGGATCAAAATATATTGTTGATGCTCCATTTGCTTTGTAAAACACCACATGTTTTGGGTGGTTAGTGGTGGGATAATTTTTTTTTACTGGTTCTGTGGGCGTGGCTTGGTGGATGTAGCAGAGGAAGGATACTGCAAAATCCCCATTTCCTCCTGATCAGCTGGGACTCGGGAGGCAGAGAATAGATGGGGGCGGGGCCAGTCAGAGGTGGTATTTACCGGTTCTCCAAACTACTCAAAATTTCTGCTACCGGTTCTCCAGAACTGGTCAGAACCTGCTGAGTACCACCTCTGATTAACACCAATTCCAAGGTGCAAAAAGAACAGGATTACCCATTCCCGTTATTCTCCCCTAGAGTATGAAATAATAATGCCTTTTAATCCTAAATTCCTACCCTTTACATAACTGCATTTGGGGGCAGAAATGCTGTACGTGCTTCCTTCTCCATCTGCCCAATATTGTTTATCTTTTGATCTCCCAAAATTTAAGGTTTCTTCTTCTCCACCCAGCCCCCAGCCTCATTTCCCAGCAAGGCGGCCATGATCTCCTGATTCCATCATCAAGAAGAAAAATAAGGGGAATATTTTTGATCTTAAATAAAGATAAAGTTCCTGTGTAGGTACACTAGGATGGATTTTTCCTCTATGTTCACATACAGGGAGCAGAAGATAGGCGGGGATTGGTACTTGATGGGTTCCATCAACAGTCAAAGTGCCAATGGCTTGAAGACATCTCCACATCAGCTTTCTGCAAAAACAGGTCTACTTTCCTGAGCTTCCATGTCTTGTTGTTGTTGCCTTGAAAACAATGAATTGAAAACAAATGTCTAGTTTGTGTCATAAAATAGTTGGCGCACTGGAGATCTTGGGGTTGGATCTTCTTCATTCTACCGGTAAGCTTTGTTCCTCTGGAGCCACATAGACTTTGTGGTTATATCGGGCACACGGTTGCTGAGCCTGTAAGTGTCGGCGATGAAAGAAGTACCAGAGCTGGAGAACACAAACCCAAACAGTTTTAATTTGTGTTATTATGATGGTGGGAACTCATTAACCTCAGCAGCAAGAAATTATTCAAATTTAAAATGCTAAATGATTAAAAAACGATTAAAATTTAAAATTACAAAAATTAAGATCTGGCTCTACCAATTAGCATGGGGATCTACCCTGTTTCCCCCCAAAAAAGACATCCCCTGATAATAAGCCAAATCGGGCTTTTGAGCACATGACAATAAGGCCAAGCGCTTATTTCAGGGTTCAAAAAAAATATAAGACAGGGTCTTATTTTCGGGGGAACACGGTAAGAGTATGAGGAAACCCTAGAATGGGCTGGTAGTTTTTGAGGGCACTCCTGCTCCCTTGTTAATCTTCTTTTCAGCCTTCTGAATTTTTAACTTTGACTTTTACTTCTTACTTCTATATTTTAACTTCTTTTTAACTCGGTTTTTATTCATGTGTTTATATATTGTTTTATGACGCTGTTGTAAACCACCCAAGTGAGATGGATGGTGTAGACAATTAATAAATAAATTATAACAGTAACAGAGTTGGAAGGGACCTTGGAGGTCATCTAGTCCAACCCCCTGCTCACGCAGGAGACCTATACTAGGGATTCGAACCGCTGAACTGCCGACCTTTTTGATCGACAAGCTCAGTGTCTTAGCCACTGAGCCACCTAGCCAGGCATATTCTTGAACAGGTGTTTGTGGGTCACTTACCATAACTGGGAGACCAGCTAGGAGGACCATTGCCAATAGGGCAGATAAGAAGATAAGAAAAATGGCCCAGCCTTGCAAACAGGTGGGATTTGATGGCACATTGCTGTCTGTAGGGAACAAAAGAATGAAATAAAACAATGTATTTTAAAAATCGTCCATTCCTTTTTTTTACTTCCTGAAGTCTAGAAACCACCCACCTGCACAACTTAGTTACTATGATTCTATGATTTTGGTAGCCACGTCAACTATATAGCAATAGTATCAAATCATTGTTTGTTTGTTTATTTTAAATCTGTATGCCGCCAAGGTGGCTCTGCTTCCTCCAGTTTTCACAGAATTATTCAATAATGGTGAAGTGCTCAGTGGAATAACTAAGCTGGAACTTTAAAAGAGCAAACTTAAGGGGGGAAGAATACAGTAGAATAGCTTCAAAAAGGAAGGAGAAATCAAGCAGGTTAAAATCATTGGTATGTTTTGATTTCTATAAAAAAAAGAAGTCAAGGGGTTCCTGCAGATCTTACTCCCCTAGTCATTACTGACTATAGGTGGCAGTGCACATCTCCATTTCAAGGCTATTTCAAGGCCAGAGCTGTCCAAAGACATTTCCATGGTCATGTGGCCAGCATGGCTTCATGGAGCGCTGTTACCTTCACACCAGTGGTACCTATTTCTCTACTTGCATTTGCATGCTTTCAAACTGCTAGGTTGGCAGGAGCTGGGGCAAAGACAGGAGCTCACCCCAGCTGCATAGTGCTGGGGTCTCGAACCTGGGCTGCCAGCTTTCCAACCAATAAAGACCAGCATCTTAACCGCTGAGCCATGGGATTTCTATAGGAGACTAAAAATAAGAACTTTGGAGGATGTCTCTAGAAGGGAAAGATCTTCTGCTTAGCAAAATGTTAACCAATCACAGAGAAAAAGCAGAGCTCAGTTCATATTTCAGCTCAATTTGAAACCTCTGACTGGTTGACTGTTCAACCATGGCCAAATGGACCAAGCAGAAGGTGAAGGAAACTCTAGTCAAAATAAATGAGAATACCAGAATATTGAATTTTGAGACCCGGATGAGTTTGAGCTTTTCACAACCCCTGCTTGCAATATTTAAAACAACTGCTTGGGGAGAGCCAAAATGATTGGAGATGGACAGATGGATATAGTCAATACATGGCAAGATTAGGCAAGATTCTGCACCAGGTTATGTAGTAGTCATTCTGTGAGCATCTAAAAGATAATGCACAAATTGCTGGAATACCCATCACTTCTGGAATAAATGGGTGTTATCATTTATAATCCATCAGTGATATGTGAAGTGCAAAAAAAAGAGTCATAAATAGTAAGCAAAGCAAATTAAAGGCATATAGAAAAGAAATAAAACTAAAACTATTGTATACCAATTTCAGTCCTTAAATCTCTCCATAACTTTCTACCATTTTTAAGCATATTCATACACAGCTTCATACTTTCATGTTCTTTAAGCTTCTCATCAATCCTTTCAAATTCTTATCAACAATATCCAGTCAAACTTTGTCTTCCTCTACAAATACTGTTGACTAATTCCTTCTTTTTTCCTATTTGTTCTAGGGTTATTCTTGTTTCAGAACACACATTCTAAGTACCTCATTCTTACTTCGTTGTACTTACTTTTTAATTTTTTTTCACATACCCATTTCTGACTTCCATATAACTGAATAGAAACGTATTTTTATTTACAGCAATTTTGCTTCTTTCAATTACCTACTATCTACAAATTCTACCAGAATCTCTGCATCTTAAATTTTCTCCATCCATGTTCCTCTATGATAAATATTCTACAGAAGTCTACAAATTTATCTATTTGCTAGTTTTTCCACTTATTAATAACTTGCAATCATTCACTCATTTTTCTCTGAAAGGACAACTAAATTGGATTTTGATGCATTAATGATGCATTAATTTTCATATCTATACTCTTGTTGTATCATACAATTCAGCTAGTTTTCCTTGCAAATAATTAAGACTCTCAGCTATCAGCATGGCATCATCTATATATAAAGGTGTACACATGTCCTTAGCTGAAACACCTCTTAATGTCACTACCAGCTTCCTAATATATTTGTCCATAAGTAAATTCAACAACAGAAAGGATTCTATACATCCTTGTCTTACTCCCTTTTCAGTGTTAACTATTTACTGAGTATATTCTGCTCATCACATATCACAGATTCATGTTCACATGAATTATTCAAATTATTCCATCCAGATAACGTAGAATGAGAACTTGCAGACTAGGAGGAAAGATGAGGTCTGATATTTCTCCATGGCAAAATGTAGTTTGTAAGGAACTGAGAGTTTTGTGAGAATTCCATCCATCAATTGAACCATGGCACTTAGAAGGCCATACTTCTAAGGAGAAGGAGAATACTACCAAACATTATTTCCACCAAAAATGGATTTTAAATCACAATTCCAACTCAGACCTATTTGAGTGACTTACCAGTGCTATTAGGTGAGGTGTAGAAGGGTAAATTAGTGGCCTCTGGTGCATTTTCTGTGGCATTGTAAGTTTCATTGGCATTTATTGTGGCTGTTGAACTGGGGGTGGTTGTTGGGCAAGTTATCTTTTTATGGATGGCTTCTGGAGTCAAAGTTGCAGGGGTGGCATTAATCTTCTGAAGCCCAGCATAGTCCTGAGGAGGCTTGTCCTCACAGCCTGTGGCTGTGTGTGGATGGTGAGAACCTGGAAAATGGAAAAGCAAAGCAAAAATGGAATGGATATCGTTTGTCCCAAATCAACATTACTCATTATTGTTGTGTTCTCAAGGATTGTTTTTAAGCCTTGTATTTGGTCTTGGACTATAAATAAAGTTTTGGTGCGATTTTAAGCCTTTTGATTTTGGTTTATTGGCATGGGGTTATCCCTAGGAGTAACTGATCCAAAGAAGACCAAAGATGGAAGGAGCATATTGAACCTTTTGTATAGCAGAAATATTTACTTTACTTTATTGTCATTGCACCTCGTACAATGAAATTAAATGCCGTCTTCAGTGTACATTATAATAAAAAAATAAAACACAAACACACCTTCTTCACATTCTATACAATTGAATTGAAACCAATATTGCATTAATATTGCACTATGCAGTAGAATTCAATATAGTTACTGCCCTGGGATAGAAGCTGTTTTTCAGCCTATTTGTCCTTGTTTTTATTGTTTGGTACTGTCTGCCAGATGGTAATAGTTCAAAAAAAGAATGCCCAGGATGAGATGGATCTTTAAGAATGTTTTGAACTTTCTTAAGGCAGCGGGAGCTACAAAGCTCTTCCAAAGAGGGAAGAGGGCAACCCATGATCCTCTGGGCAATGACGTTGACCCTCTGGAGTGCTGTCCCATTTGCCACTGTGCAACTGAAAAACCATAGACAGGTGCAGTAAATTAAAATATTCTCTATGGTGCAGTGGTAGAAGGTCACCAGCAGTTTTTCATTCAGTTGTTTCCCGAGAAGTCTCAGGTAGTATAATCTCTGCTGGGCCCTTTTGACCAGTGCTGCAATGTGAGTGCCTCAGGTCAGGTCCTCTTTTGTGATAACGCCCAGAAACTTAAAACTGGCCACTTGCTCCACTCGGTCTCCATTGATAAGCAAGGGCTGGATGTCTGATCTATTCCTTCTATAGTCCACTATAAGCTCCTTGGTCTTATTGCTTATTGCTTAACGCATTGTAAACCGCCCTGAGTCTCCGGAGAAGGGCGGCATACAAATAAATAAATAAATAAATAAATAAATAAATAAATAAATAAATAAATAAATAAATAAATAAATAAATAAATAAATAAATAAATAAATAAGTTAAGGACCAAGTTATTGTCTCCACACCACAAAAGCAACCGGTCTACCTCATCTCAATAGGCAGACTCATCCCCCCTGGAGATGAATCCCACCACACAAATGTCAACATCCAAGAGAGCTGAGGAAATATCGAATTACCAGAAGCCCTTCACAATGATAACTTTAAAAAAATGAACAGCCTCTGCTTTTTAGAGTTTAGTGTACTTGAAAATGAGGTGAGGGCTCTTCTGTCCAGATCTACAGATAGTCACTAAGGAAAGAGAGTTTCTTCATTAGCAACCTCTCCCAAACTGAGACTCTCTGGTGGTTCATTCTAACCATCTATCCTTCTTCAAATGCCTCCCATTATTTCATTTTGGCACTAGAGGCTGAGGAAGGAAATTCTACACTTCAGCTATTTCCAATAAAATAGCCCTTTTGCCAACTCAGGAGGCCCCGTTCTGTAAGTTCTGGAGTAGAAATACATCTTTCATCAAATACATTTTCTCTCATCCATTTTGCCAAGCTAAAACAATTTCAATGGTCATCCATTCAGGCAGGGAAAGATTCAGGCAAAATGGCAGCAAGGGGCTCAATTAACCATGAACTTTTTGTTTTCTGTTGGAAATTCTCAACTTCCCACCAGGGATGAAATGCTCCCAGTTCGGACTGGATCGCCCAATCCAGTAGCAATGGTGGCGGGTAGTTCGGAGAACCGGTAGCAAAAATCCCTGCCCCCCCTCCCCCGCCCATGCCCAGCTGAGCCGTGCGGTCATCAGAGGCTTTTTTTACTTTTAAAAGCATTTTTTCTACAACTTCTTTGGCCGAAGAGGTTGTAGAAAAAATGCTTTTAAAAGTAAAAAAAAAAAAAAAAAACACCCTCTGATGATCGCACAGCTCAGCTGGGATCGTCAGACCTTTTAAAAGCATTTTTTCTACAACCTCTTCGGCCAAAGAGGTTGTAAAAAAAAACGCTTTTAAAAGGCTCTGGCGATCCCAGCTGAGTAGAAAAAATGCTTTTAAAAGAAAAAAAAAGCCTCTGACGATCAGGCAACTCAGCTGGGATCGTCAGGGCCTTTTAAAAGCATTTTTTTTACAACCTCTTTGGCCAAAGAGGTTGTAGAAAAAATACTTTTAAAAGCCTCTGACAATCCCAGCTGAGCAGCACGATCATCAGAGACTTTTAAATTTTTTTAAAAAGCAATGCTTTTAAAAGTAAAAAAAAAAAGATTACGCGCCACAGCTGATCACCCCCCCCCCTCGTGTGCTGTTCTATTTATCACATGCCTCCTTTTGGCATGCACTGCGTGTGCGCACCTCACATTTGGTGCGTGGTGTGCACTGTGCATGTGCAGCCAGCGAACTGGTAGTAAACCGGTTCAGATTTCACCACTGCTTCCCACCTTTTCACAGCTGTGTCTTCTTCTGGATTCTGACTCCCGGTGAAGAAACATTGGATCTTGCCAACAATGAAGGGACACTATTTTCACTATTGAGAGTGAAAACTCAAGCATCACAAGTAATTTTGAAACTTTGAAATGTTCCTCAACTGTTGGCAAAGTCCAAATGACTTGATCCAAATAACGTGGGGCAAAGATGCTCACCTGCTACACAGAGGAACAAGATAGGAAATATACAGAGAATCCAAGGAGGGTCCTTCAAGCATTTCCATTTCTTCTCCATAGAAGCACAGTAGTGCAGAGAGCAGAGGTCTTGGGTGCAGCAGTCAATTTCTGGCAAGTCTCCTGTAATATTTGCAACCCTTTTATATATAAGTGATTGCAACTGCCAATTCTTTCCTAATTTAGCAATACCTCTTCAAGAAAATAAGTGTCTAATGCGTGAAACATTTGTCACATTTTATCAAAATATGCATATATATGTGCATTAAAACAGGAAAGGACCTGATACACACTTGTAAATCTGGATTTTTTTTTTGGTCATCTTCCGTCAGTTAATGGAAAAGATAGAGATGGGGAAAAAAAGAGAGAGCGACAGAAAGAAATATTGTTCAGATGCATTAAATTGCAGTGTAGGTTAGTCCCATGCAGTTAATTACAGAGGCAAAAATTAACAGTGTGATTAATAACCAAGCTGGAATGAATCCAAGTTGAACTGAATTATGGGTGTTTCTGGAAATGACAAACATGTTCCTGAAGTGTCCTATTATTATTTTTCTGTATATAGCCCTGGTCTTTATAAAAACTCACCACTACCTTATTACCTGCTACTTCAAGAATGCCTAGGATAACAAGGGCAGGGAATGAGATTGCTTCCCAGGTGGCTTCACTTCAGTCTTGGTGAGAAGGCACTGAGATGTCAATGCTGAAGAGGCAAGGATGTACCTCCCGACCTAGAATCCCTCTGGATCCCCCCAAAGAAATAAAAATAAATAAATACATAAATAATTTTATTTCTATACCGCCTTTCTCCCGAAGGACTCAGGGCGGTGTACAGCCTATTAAAAGCACAAAGACAGACATCAGTTAAAAATAATTAAAATTATTAAATAATTTCGGCTCAGATTTAAAACCCCAAAAATTTAAAACACCCAATTTAAAAATCATTACATTGATAGCCCGGCTTGGCGGAACAGCAGGGTCTTGAGGGCACAGCGGAATACACGGAGGTCGGAGATCTTATGCATTTCCGGGGGCAGTTCATTCCACAAGGCAGGGGCTCCCACAGAGAAGGCCCTCCCTCTGGGTGTCGCCAGCCGACATAACTTGGCTGATGGCACCCTGAGGAGACCCTCTCTGTGGGAGCGAACTGGCCGGTGGGAGGCTGTTGGTGGCAGAAGTCGGTCTTGAAGGTCCTATGCCATGGAGCGCTTTAAAGGTGGTGACCAACACCTTGAATCGCACCCGGAAGACCACTGGGAGCCAGTGCAGCTCGCGCAGGAGGGGTGTCACGTGGGCACAATGGGTTGCACCCATAACCACCCGCGCGGCCGCATTCTGGACCAGCTGGAGCCTCCGAATGCTCTTCAAGGGGAGCCCCATGTAGAGAGCATTACAATAGTCCAGCCGGGAGATGACAAGGGCATGAGTGACCGTGTGCAAGGCGTCCCGGTCCAGAAAGGGCTGCAACTGGCGAATCAGGCGAACCTGATAAAAAGCCCCCCTGGCCACGGCTGTCATATGCTCTTCTAAAGACAGCCATGTGTCCAGGAGGACACCCAGATTGCGAGCCCTCTCTGTGGGGGGCAGAGATTCACCCCCAATAGTCAGCGATGGCACCAGCTGACTATATCGGAACGCTGATAAATAAGACCGACTCAACTCAGCCCAACCTAGTACCTTCCAATGCATCATGATTACACCTCCAATATTCCTCAGTTGTTGATAAAGATGGGCATCACAGCCATGTATGGATAGGAGAAATGGGAGATAGATTTACATGCCCTTTGTAGTGTTAAATTGTTTATATGTGCATACCCTTATATTAGAATTGTAGATTTGAAAGTCAGGAAGCACATCATATTTTTCTGTTCTGATTCCTTCTTTGTTAGGACATATTTATGTACACAATTATTTGGATCACATATATTTGTCTGTCTGGAACTCGACTTCATATCAGACATAAATACAATCGAGAGAGTCCAGAGATATTTTACGAGAAGGGTCTTCCATTCCTCTAACCGCAATAAAATACCTTATGCCACCAGACTTCAGATTTTGGGCTTAGACAACTTAGAACTACGCCGACTTCAGTCTGATCTAAGCATAGTACATAAAATTATCTGCCACAATGTCCTTCCTGTCAATGACTATTTCAGCTTCAACCACAACAATACACGAGCAAATAATAGATACAGACTCAAGGTAAACCGCTCCAAACTCGATTGCAGAAAATATGACTTCAGTAACAGAGTGGTCAATGCCTGGAATGCACTACCTGACTCTGTAGTTTCTTCCCCAAACCCCCAAAACTTTAATCTTAGACTGTCTACTGTTGACCTCACCCAGTGGTGGGATTCAGCCAGTTTGCACCACTTCGGGAGAACCGGTTAACTTTCTGTGTAGTTTGGCAAACTGGTTGTTGGGAGAAGTCATTAGGGCAGAGAACCGGTTGTTAAATTACTTGAATCCCACCACTGCCCTCACCCCATTCCTAAGAGGTCTGTAAGGAGCGTGCATAAGTGCGCCAGCGTGCCTACCGTCCCTGTCCTAATATTCCATTTTTACTTACTCTTTTCACGTATTCAAATTATGTTTATACTTTTACCTGTTATCTTATATATGCTTGACAAAATAAACTTATGATTATGATTATTTTAGTGCTGATAACCTATTCAGGGCTGCTAATAATAGCAATAGCATTTAGGCTTATATATCACTTCAAGTCCTCTCTAAGTGGTTTACAGAGTCA